AATAATAGAAGAACTTATAAAATTAGAAATTTTAGAAAAAATATTTTCTCTTTCACTAGATAATGCAAATAACAATAATATAGCTATTGATCATATCAAAGCATATTTGCTATTGCCATGTCATGGTGATATTTTTCATATTAGATGTATATATCATATTTTAAATTTAATTGTTCAAAGTGTATTTTATGAAATTAAATCCATGATAGAAAAGGTTAGGACAATAACTTATGCTCATAATGCTTCTGAACAAAGACTTAAAAGATGAAAACGATTGTGTAGAAGAAAAAAATTTAAACTCGGATTAATTCTAAAAGATGTTGACCATAGGTGGAATTCTACCTATGCAATATTAAATGTAACAATATAGTATAAAAGAAATTATAAATAATTTTATTTCTTTCTATACTTCTAGTTCTAGATCTGGTAATATGTATGGAATAATTGAGGATGAATGGTTAATTATATATAGTGTAAAAGAGATGTTACAAGTTTTTTATGAAGCTACTATGTTATTATCTGGTTGTTATTATCCAACTATTATTCAAGCTGCTTTACAAGTTTTAAATATTCTGGTTGTTATTATCCAACTATTATTCAAGCTGCTTTACAAGTTTTAAATATTCAAACTTTTTTAATAATTATCGTATGGATAATTATTTTGGAATCAAGCTGCTTTACAAGTTTTAAATATTCAAACTTTTTTAATAATTATCGTATGGATAATTATTTTGGAAATATGATTTTTTTAATAGAAAGTAAATATAAAAAGTATTTTAGGCCTATTTCTATTATTTTTGGTTTGAGCATTCTTATTGATCCATTTTTGAAGGATGTTGGCATTCGAAATTTGTTAAATTCTTTGTATGGTAACATGGTGTTTTCATCGAAAGTCACCTTCGTGATTGATTTCATTATAACTTTAGTCGTTTACAACGAATTCAAATAACAAAAATAAAAGAAAATACAACTCTCTCGAAAATAAACACAAGATCCGTTTATCGACTCTTGCTTGCGTGGGTTCTTCGCCGGTGCCGGGGTTTATCTATGGACGACCGTAGATCGGATCCGGTTGATGGAAAATTAACAGAGCTCCTACCTCACCAATGGGGTATTTACTTGAAGCGTTGAAATCGACCAAGCGAAATCAGTAGCTCTTCTCGAGATTAAGACAAAGTCTAATATCAAGGAACGGACGTACGGGGCTTCGAATCCTTCGAATGACTTCTCCTTTGTGCTGAAGTTCATCATGATCTCGTTGGCCTTTGCTAAAATTTCATGCTCCTTGACTCTTCAATCCAGCAACACCTCGTCCTCTTGATGTTCGCACCGTAAAATGAGCCCCTAGGCCTGTATTTATAGGCTTCGGTTGGGGGATTATCGGATAAGAATGAGTGATTTGCCCTTATCTTCAGTTAATAACGACCTAACCATGTTTGTAAATGATATTAAGTCAGTTGGGAACCCATTGAACAGATAAGTCCTGTAAAAAACCGCTTTGAAACCGTGAAAACGCGTCCGGAGGTCGAAACAGCGCGGGGGCGTGGGTTGCGCGGGGTCTGACCCACGCTTACGCGGGTCGGACGGATCGACCCGCGCTTGCGTGGGTCGGAACGCCGTCGACCGCGGCGGGGCGCGGGTCGGCACCTCCGACTAGCGCTGGAGCAGTGGTTGGGCGCAGTGCCCGTCCCGCGCCGGCGCGGGTCTGCCGCCTCTGTCGAACTTTTTTTTTGGCGCTTTGCTTTCTGGGACTTGTACTTTATGTCGTTTTGTTTACTCGCTCGTCGTGTTGACTTGTACGCTACGCGCGAGTTGACTGACGCGCGCGAGTTGATTGTCGTGCGCGAGCTGACTGATGCGTGCGAGTTGATTGACGCGCATGTGTTGACCGATGCATGCGAGCTGATTGACGCGCGCGAGCGGATTGGTGCGCGTTCGAACACTTAGAGATGATCGACGCGCACGAGCTGATTGTTGGGTATGCGTTGATTGACGTGCGCGAGCTGATTAATACGCGCGTGTTGATTGGCGCGCGTGTATTGACCGACGCATGTGAGTTGATTGACGCATGCGAGCTGATTGATGCGCGCGTGTTGATTGACGCGTACAAATTGATTGTCGTGCGCGCGGGTCATTCGGTTCGCCGTTTCGCTTCATGCGCTTGTCGGCGTCAGATAATCCTCTTAGACTCGGATAGCGACGTTCGTCATCTTCTCTCTGTCTCGAGCTGTGTGCGGACACCTATAGGCATTTTTATACGCCTACACATGGTAATAGACACTGATGATGATCAAACTATTACTGCTCTTACTCATCATAATACTATTAGAACTTATTTTCAAAGATTATATGATGAGTATGTAGTTAGATATGGTGTAAGTACACATCAGTCTACAGCTTCTGCTTCTACGAGTTTAAGTTGGGGCAAATGTACGAGTATTAATTGGGAATTATTGATAGCTCAGCTAACTGGTGAATCTGGAGCTTGTTCATCAATGAAAGTTTCTAAAATTGAATAATATTTAACTGTATCTTTAGTTAAAAGTCAAAATAATAGTTTTAATATTTTACAATGGTGGAGAGTATATGGAACCGTTTCATAACCTATACTTTTTATCATAGCTCGTGACTTACTAACAATGCATATTTCCACGGTAGCTTCGGAATCCGCCTTCAACACATCAGGACGTTTGATCGACGACCACAGGACATCGTTAGATCCGTCTACCCTACAGGCGGTAATATACCTACAAGATTGGTGGAGGTACGAGAAGAGAACTCAAGGCATCGATCTGATAGCTAGTATTAAAGATAAACTTGAAGAGTTAGCAATAGCAGATAGAGATAAAGAGTAAAAATTATTCATTGGTTTAGAATTTTTATTTCTTACCTAAAAATTTGTGATAAATTTTTTTAGAAAGAGTTGCAAATGATAGTGATATAGATAAGTAGGTGCAACCTAGTTGGGATGTATTCATCTATTGTGATACGACAAATTCCAAAATAAATTTGTAATTGTTAATGATTAACTGATTATTAATAAAGAATTTATTTTTATCATTTTAATTTTTATGATTTTTTGTATTTATAAATTATATAATTACAAGTGATTAATAGTATGATTGATTTTTTTATCAAAATTCCGCTTAATTTATTGTTATTTACTCTTGAAAAATTTTTTAGCAGAAAAAGGAAAAAAAAAAAAGAAAATGACCAGCCCGGCCTGGGCCAACAGGGCTCGGGACATAGGTTTTGCCCGGCCCGGGCCAGGTTTGTCTGCCCGACCCAGCCCGTTTGGACAGGCCTAGTGATAGGAACATTCATCCTTTATGAATAATTCACCCTTGTCTTTACAGTAACGTCTTCAAACTCTAATGGCTAGTTTGACAATCTTTAGAGTTATGCCATAATCTAGTAAACTGTTTTTTTATTATTAAAAACTGGGTCAGTTTATTTTAGTTTACTTTGAGGTTTTAAACTAATTTAGTTATGGTTTAGTTGTAGACTAAGAAGATCTAATTCACAACTAAACTGTTTTTGTTCATAATTAGTTTGAGGACTAAATTTGAGCCATTTTTAATGAGTTATCAAAGACACCCTTCAAAATAGATGGTCACAACGTGCTTCTATGAAACAATTTACTGTGTTCTTTTATCAACCCATATTCAGAAATACGATAGGAAGAGAATATCTTGATATTTGTATACCATTATTGCTCCTCAGTTAAGTACTTGATAACTCACATCAAGTATTAGTCCATTCTTTTGCTTAATTTCATTGTGCGATAGGCAAGAGCCAGAAGAGAAGAAGGAAAAAAAAAGTTTTTGTTGCTAATTAAAATAAGTGATTGTATGTAGAATTTTTTTTTTTCTTGAAACCACTTTTAAAATAGGATCATTATACAAAAATTATCTTTAATTGTCAATTTATATATAAATCACCTTCAAAGGATTATTATTATTATTATTACAAGTAACAAACTGGACTCACTTGTAAGTCAAGTTTCCTCAGTTTTGCTGTAATGATTAGCAGTCAAAAATCAAATTTATTAGAGGATGATTTTTAATAAGGTTAGGTAGGTTAATCATAAAAAAAACTTAGCTAAAAAGTTAGCCCATCGGGTTAATTGCAAATAAAAAATAAAAAATCTTTCAAGGTGATTTTATGTATACTTGACAATTAAAAGTTGTTTCTAAGTAATGACCTTATTTTATAAGTGGTTTCTAGGAAACAAAAAACCCTTAGGTCCCGTTTGGCAAAGGGTTAAGCAGGAGGGATTAAAGAGAAGGATTAACTTAGATATTTATAATTGATTTTCGATTGAAAGATGGATGAAGAAAAAAATTGGGAGAACAGAAATTCGATACTCATTCCATGAGAAATCTAAAACACTTAAATGGAATATTAGATTAAAATGCGATATAGTTAGATGTAAGTTAGCAAATAATTTTATCTGAGAGTACGAAAGACACACATGTGAAAGGCCCTGAAAAGAGTGAGTTTCATCGCTGATAACCCCCCATCATAATCATGCCTCTGCCTCAGTTGCTGTAAAAGAAAAAATAAAATAAAAAACGCATCTGCCTCGGTTTTCTTGTGAGAAAAAAAATAAAACAATTATTTCCCCACCGAAACTCTGACTTAACTGGGGAAAAAAGAGAAATGAGGAGAGAGAGAGAGACAGCTTTTTCTCCACACACTGGACAAGGCTTTTTCCTTCTCCTGTTGTCTTTTTACTTCAATCATGTGACTCTATAATTAAACAAGTGTTTACTCTTCAACAGTAATTAGCTCTCCTGTGACGAAGCGCTTCCGAGTACAACAAACTGCAACCACTTCACTTTAGAAACCCAATTATATGGTTAATTCTGCAGTAACAAAAAGGTACAAACAAAAGAATAGAAGAGGAAAAAAAAAATTCAAATCTCTTGCTTATTTAATCCCCCCTCTCTTTCTCACTCTTCACCATCCTCCCCCCCCCCCCCCCCCCCCCACACCACTCATTCTCTCTCTGAGGAAACATGAAGTCCGTAGCATGGAAGCCCGTGCAATGGCCATTGCAGCTTCTCTGTTTCAGATGAGCTCAGCAATGGGGGTAAATGAGCCCCTCTCAGCTGAGGACAAGGTCATCAAGCTCCCTGGGCAACCTCAGGTCAGCTTTGAGCAGTACTCAGGCTACATCTCAGTGGACAAGATGAAGCAGAGAGCTCTGTTCTATTACTTCGCTGAAGCTGAGATTGATCCAGCCACAAAACCTTTAGTTCTCTGGTTGAATGGAGGTAAAAAGAACAATTTTGACACTGTTCCCTCAGACGGGTTCTTTCAGGAACTCAAAAATACTAGAATTTTGATAAAGATTTGACGTGGGTTTTATTGCTCTGCTTGATTATTGAATAGGACCTGGTTGTTCTTCAGTTGGGGTTGGTGCATTCTCAGAGAATGGGCCTTTTAGACCCAGTGGGCAGATGCTAGTCAGAAATGAGTACAGTTGGAACAGAGGTAACAAAGTAGAGATCTTTTACATTCTACTTTGATCTAAAATTGTTGGAAAATATAAAAAATTATTTGTGATTCTGCAGAAGCGAATATGTTGTTTTTGGAGTCACCAGCAGGAGTTGGGTTCTCTTATTCCTCTGATAACTCCTATTATGGTGGAGTTGATGATAACATGACTGGTATATTCTCAGTTTCAGTAGAATTTAGTATTGTATCATTGCATTTTTCCAGATATATAATAATTTGGAGGAATTCTGAAACTTTTTATGGTTTGATCCTTAAGCTATGGACAATCTTGTGTTTCTTCAACGCTGGTTTGAGAAATTCCCACAATATAATAATAGGGATCTCTACATAGCTGGAGAAAGCTATGCAGGTCACTACATTCCTCAGCTTGCCAATCTCATGGTTCAGTTCAACAGGAGAGAAAAAATCTTCAACCTCAAAGGAATTGCTGTGAGTAATTCTGGATTGTGCTTCTTAGAGAATTATAAACTGTGCTATTTTCCTGAAAAGAAACTGCTATGAGTGAAAAGATGTACTTTTCAGGATCAAAGTTTATGGCTGAATGATGCTCTTTGTTTTTAGTGTTTATTTAATCTGATACAATTCTATATTTTTATCTCAATTTAGATTCTTTTAGTGGCAAAAACCCACCCTGAATTCTTTCAACTTTTGATCATATTTCTTCTTGACATTACAGTTTATTGTCCTTTAGATGATCCTAAAGAAGTTTCTTACTGCGGAATTCATAGTCATTCAATCCTGTTCTCTATGAGAGATTTACTCTTTAGGATCACGATCTTCTCCTTTTATGGTTTTAGTAATTTATCAAATTACATAATCTCTATCTCAATGAATTGTGAACAGTAAAGACTGAAATCTTTCAACTCTTGTGCACATTTCTTCTGTATACTTGAGTTGAATCGCCTTTATTTGATCCTGAACAATTTCTTTCTTGTTGGTAAATTTGCAGTTAGGCAATCCTGTTCTTGAGTTTGCCACTGACTTCAACTCAAGGGCTGAGTATTTCTGGTCTCATGGATTGATCTCTGACTCTACGTACCATATTTTCACATCAGTATGCAACTACTCTCGATATGTTGGAGAGTATTATAGAGATTCTCTTAGCCCTATTTGTGAAAGAGTGATGAGCCAAGTTACTAAAGAAACCAGCAGATTTGTTGACAAGTATGATGTTACCTTAGATGTTTGCATTTCATCGGTGCTCTCACAATCCTTGGTTCTAAGTCCTCAAGTAAGTTTAAGCTTTGGGTTTTAGATGGAAAAAAAATTCACAAGTTCGAGATTTTGTTGCTTAGATTGGTTTTGTTCTGATTTTGTTGCAGCAAGTTACTGAGAGAATAGATGTTTGTGTGGAAGATGAGACAGTGAACTATCTTAATCGCAAAGACGTGCAAGAAGCACTACATGCTCGACTCGAAGGTGTGACAAAATGGACTGTATGTAGCAGGTAATTCCCTAGAATATCCCCCCGTGTGTAGTGTGCACATGATTTGAAATTTCATTATATTAGTTGTCAAAATGTGGTATTTTGCTTCTAATGCATTCAAATATATGAAATAGGACAGGAGGAAATTGCTTTTGAATGTTTTTTTGTTAAAAAGTTAAAAGAACATTGGTTTTGAACTTTTGTGGAATAGAACATTTTGTGAGTATTACAATTTGCTTAATGTTACTGTTAGTCTAAATTTAGTTTTTATCATTTAAAATTTTTTAATCATTGTTACTTTATAAATGGAAGCAATCCGGTTTATGAAATAGAAGACTACTATGATTGCTCATTTCATTCTACAAATTATTTCATACCTCTACTTTTACAATTCGGTTTACTGTATTTCACGTAGCTCTTCCTCCCTCCTTTAGACTTCGCCAATAGATATATCAAAGTATAAACTAAAAAGGTTTCACTTCCTATAATGTTGCGATATTCTAGCTAAATGAACTATCTTACTCCAAGTTCCTAATGCATATTTTTATGATACTTTTCAGTTAAATATTGATGCTGATTTATAAACTTGAGAAACTTTGGTTCATGCATCTTTTCTGAACTATTTCATCACGGTCTCTTTCTTCAGTGTACTTGAATACGAGCTCCTCAACTTGGAGATACCCACTATATCGGTTGTGGGTTTGCTGGTTAAGTCTGGGATCCCCGTCTTGGTTTACAGGTAAATAAACACTGTCACCAAAATCTTTTCACCCAAACATAGTCTCCATAACCTAATTTTCTATGTGTATTTCCTCATGTCTTAGTGGTGACCAAGACTCTGTCATACCCTTAACTGGGAGTCGAACACTAGTACAAAGACTAGCAAATGAACTACGACTGAACACTACGGTTCCTTACAGAGTTTGGTTTGAGGGACAGCAGGTAATCTAATCAACCCCTAAACTTAATTCTCATTTTGCAGTGTGTTTAGTCGAAGAAATTAGAGTTACAAATTCATTTGCAATATCATGACGTTCCAGCCTCAATCTGAATGTAGCAGTAACTCTAATATTTTTGACGCATTTTACTTTTCCCACAAATCTATATGAATTGTAATAAAATCCAATCAAATAGCTGTGTTAGAATTTAAGGGGAAAAAGGTCCTATAGAAGGCCCTCTATGAAAAATCATAGAGGGAGGAAGATCACAACAAGTGATTAATAACATATTTCAAAGTTGGTGATTTCACTAATACGTTTTTGCATTAATGCAACCTTGGTAATTGCATTAATACGGTATTTTGATTGCACTGATATTGTATATTAATTGGCTTGATTTAGATTTGATAATGGGATGCATGTCACGATATCCTTCCTATATGATTTTCGAGACAGCCTAATTTTGATGTAGTTTAGCCCCATGATCCTTCAACTACTCATAACCAAACATGGCCTCTTTACATTTTCCTTGTTTGTATGTTAATTAATGTTTTACAAATAGGTTGGAGGATGGACTCAAGTATATGGAGGCATGCTCTCATTTGCTACGATAAGAGGAGCCTCTCACGAAGCTCCATTCTCTCAACCTGCAAGATCTCTTGGGCTCTTCAGAGCTTTTCTCACGGGCAAGCCATTGCCCGAAGCATTCTGATGGTTTCTCAGGAAAAGCAGTGTGCGTGTGTATATGGGGTTTCTTTCTATGTAAGCGAGGTTAGCATTCTTTTATGTGGTTTGCCTGTGTACTGGAACTGCAAGTTGGAGAAATTGTGTGATGAGCATGCAGAATGTATGTTTTTGATAAACTACCATCTTGTGGTTTCAGTTCAAATTTGTAGTTGCAGTTCAGAAAGTGTAATCTATATCTTGGCTATCACTTTGAATTCATATTTTGTTTTCTCATGTTAATGGTGGAAATAACAGAATTTGACTTTGTTTTCAACCGATAAAATTGGTACAAACTTGAAAAATTCACATGAATTTGAAGTTGTTGCTTCCAAAAGCTTATGAGCATCTGCATGAAGGTAGGAACGTGATCAAGCTCAACTTGGAAATCTCATTTAATTTGATAATGGATTGCCTATTTTAATGGGCTCACTTGAAGACTTGGAAGTTGCAAAAACAACTAGATGAAGGATGAATGTCATCAATCTCAGCTTTGTCTTTGTACATAGTGTGTTGGGGTTGAAACAATGACAACCCGTGCCCTTCCGGATACTGTGTCGAAAGTATAGCAAGCAAGACAATCACGGCAAATGACAAAACTTGCAGGAAAAACAATAAGAAAGAGAGAACATTAGATTTAACGAGGCTTGGCAAACGTGCCTACGTCCTCAGGAGCCACACCAAAAAATTCCTTTATGATTGAATAAGATTACAATGCCTGCAAACGACCTTCCTCTCTCTCTGAGAACTCTCTCTCAAAGTGTTCAGAAAACCCTCTCAAAACCCTCTTTTTCGTGTACTACATAACCCTAAAAACAAAGAAGGATTATATATATACCAAGCACAAAACATGAATCCAAACAGAAACAAGCTTTCTATTTTTAACGTCGTCGGTCGACTGACGCTCATGCGTCAGTCGACTGATGAGAACAGGTTTTCCAAGTGCACATGTATGTATAGAAATATATACACATGTATGTATATATACATCATAATATATACACATGTATGTATATATTAAAGTGACTCTCTTGGAACTATTTAACGGTGCTAAGGAGTTCATCACAAAGGTAGGTAATCATTTCCTTATTTTTTCATGCTATTGGATTCTTTTTCTATGCAACTTCGTTCATTGGATTCCTAATTTTTAGTTGTGTAAATATCCATGTTTGGGATGTTATCAATTGATGCTCTATGCATATTGACTCGTGTCATTGGACACATTTCCTTTCACATAATAATTACCTGTTTGCCAATATCAGTTGATGAAATTACTGTGAAATTGATACTCGTATAATTATTATCAGTATGCTTTCTTTTATTTTCTATTTCGGTTGACCAATGCCCTATTTGTTGGTAACATTTCTTTACTCGCTCTCAATTGATTGAGAATTCGCCTATTTCTTTCCTTGTGACTATTATGTGTAGGTACGTTCATTGTTCCCTCTCAATTCTTTAAGAGTTTAATTTTTCTTGAAATTCCTACAAGTTGATATTCGATGCTTAGTTGTATACCTTATTGCTTTTATAATATTCTTATTTAAATCACTTCATGCGTGGGCTATTTGTTGATTGCTTAACTTTTTCTATATCATTGTTGTAAATGGTTGAAATATACTCTATTTGACCAACGATGAGTTCGAATCCACGAAGTGAACACACATGGGCTAAACACTTCAGATGGGCTCAAGCATCAGCATATGGTAGGCTACAATGAAGTTCACTTGGATCACATGCGAGCATGACTATATCCGAGCTAAAGAGGACCTGAGTTTGAGTTAATCCTCAAGTCAGACTCTGGGCCGAGTCAAAAGGCGTCCTCAAGGCAGCGAGTCAAAAGGCATCCTCAAGTTAGATTTTGAGTCCAAGTCGAAAGGTATTTCTAATGTGGATTTTGGGCTGAATTGAAAGGCATCCTCAAGTCGACCGAGTTAATAAATGAGTTCAACTTGGATTATGAGTAAAAATTGACCTTATCAACAAAGCTCGTCCAAGCCACAACGAAGCTTGTCCGAGTCATAATGAAGCTCACTCTCAAGATCAAAACAAAGTGAAGCTTCAGGCGAAGTTCACCTAAAATGAGATTCACCCAAATAGTCCACGTGGGCCATGTAGTGAAGTTTGACGAAGCCACGAAGCCATAGTGAAGTTCACTAAAGCCGTAGTGAAACCCGCAAAAGTCATAGTAAAGCTCACCTAAGTGAGCTTCACATAAATGAGCTTCGCTCAATAGCCTATTGTAGGCATCAAAAATTACCTATAGGTCCCAAACACAGCTCAAGACGGAGAGAAGACGAAAAACATCATCATCTAAGTCATAGAAGACTAGCCAATGCAGAAGGAAGCAAAGGAGTATGGAAAACGACTCAGAAAAGAACTCAGAACTGTCTCACAATTGGTGAGACAACACCCATTGTCTCGTGTATCCAAGACAGTGTTCATTGTCTCGTATACGCGAGACAACCTCTCGGGTTTTCTGATAGTTTTGAGACTTTTTATGGGTGCCACGTGTTGGCCTTCTTATTTTGATGATGATTTACAAACAATTTACATCTAATATTGTTTGTCTAGTGTTTGTGTTTTATATTGATTCTAGGCAAACAATATGTTGGAGGATGGATGGAATAGAGCTTCAACGATCATATTCAAAGGAGGTTGGCGGAATGTCGGTGAAGCCTTGCAACTCAAAGTTAAAGATCAAGTTCAAGCTTCATCCGCACGTGTACCAAGTCAAGCTTAATTGAAGATCAAGATTGCTTGGGTAATGTAGTTTAGGATTTATATTATGTGTGTTAAGTACTCTAAGCTCAATTATCTACACACACACACATTTTATTGGTTTCCTTGTATATATATGTAGTCACATATATATACAATACAAGTTTTAGTTTTCATGTTTATAAATATGAAATTACATGTTTCATATTGTGATTTGGTTTATCTACTTAGATATGAAACAAATATATTTTCATATACATACTCATAGGTTTCATTTTCTATTGTATTTGTGAAAATATTGTATTCTTAGTTTATAGAGTTTAATATCAGTTTATATATGTTTTACTAAGTCTATAAAATCATTTTGTAAAGTTTTAAAAGTTGGTTTAGGTCAAAACATCAAACTCATGTGTTTACATTTTCATGTTTTGGACTATTTTGCAAAATGATGATATTTTTCATTTGGGAAGTCCTTTTTCGAAACCAGTTGCTGTAGCATGTTTATTATCATGTCTACAATCATTCCCCAAAGTTTTACATTTTTTAGAATTTATTTGATATTTTTAAACAGCGTTTTAAAATCAGATATACAGTTTTTGAGTATCAGTTTTTGGTCAACCGAACCGGTCGACCGAACCTGAGTTCATATGTTCTCTGGGCGACAGAGAGTCTGTCGGTCGACCGGTAGTTTTCTAAACTCTACTCTAGCTTTCATTTGTTATTTGTTAATTATCAATTCTATTAAAGCTAGTTTTATATTGAGTTTAGATTTGATTTCACTCATTGTTACACACACCCACTTTGAGCTTATTGTATTTGCATTCATAATATATTAGGGTTGTGAGAGTTGTAGCATTGAGTGTGAGCTTTTATTGTGTTCTCATCCATATTAGAGAATAATTTTATATTTGTTACATTGTGAGATTGTTAGGTTTTCGGTGAGCTAGAAACCGAGTGTGGTGTGAAAGTTTTCGGTGAACTAAAAAACCGATTGTGAGGAGTGACGTTGATCGGTGAGCGTTGAAAACCGATACTGTGAGGTGTAAACGTTGTTCGGGTGAACGTAGAAAACCCGGTTGTGATAGTGGAATTCTCCCCGGGAGTGGGGAGCGGAGACGTAGGACGGAAGGTCCGAACTCCGTGATCATATCGTGTGTTTGTGATTGCATTGGCGTTCTTATTCTTGTTTTCATATCTTATATCGCCTTTGTGTATTGCTCATCATATTACCCTATCACTTGTGTAGATTGTTTATTTTACCCTTGTGTTGTTTATATATCCTTGCATATATACATATTCATCACATAGGATATATCTCTTTGTTGTTCATATTACTTATCCTAGCTCATATACATTGTTGTATTTCATACTTGCTAGGATAACTTGTTAATAAGTTTTAATTGGCATTTAATCGGACTAGATTAGCATAAGACCCTAATCACCCCCCTCTAGGGTCGAACACCACGTGGCTCCATAACTGTTGGAAAATGTTCATTAACGTTAATGGACGATTATAGCCATGAAATACGCCCACTATCCATAAAATTTGCGGTATTTAACGCAATTTAAGTAGTGGGATGATGGTTACAAACTGGCTGGAACTGCCTCCTTTAGCCGAGACAGTAAACACTGTCTCGCCCAAAGGAGGTAGTGATCGTCAGTTGTTTTAACTTCTTTTCCATGGTTACGACTTCCAATGACTATAAATACCCCTTGGCACACTTGTGCACGGGGTACTGACCGAGGTACTAACAAAGGGAGAGGCTTTTGGAGAGCAGATAGAAGAAAGAACTTGGCATTTGGTGAACTTTGAGAGTAAGAGAGAGTCCCTCATCCGCTTTCAAGCATCTTCAAGAGTTCTTTGATGTTTCCTTGAGTTCAAACTTGGGTTTGATTTTGAGAAGAGTATCTATCTTATCTCAATCAGATATTTACTTAAGTTTTTTTTGTTTCCACATCGAAACATCAACTTTTAGCCTCATTCGTTTTTGACTTGGAATGTTGATTCGGTGGTCCATGGATAACGTATCCCCGGCACAGGCAAAGATCCCACACAAGCAAAACCTACTACATAGAAGTTTCCTGTGTGTGCTTCTAGGGAACATCACGATTTTTTTATTGTAAAAAAAAAGTTTTGCACATGTAAGGCTCATTCTTTTGTTTCTATTAAACGATTTAATGGAAGCTGCAATAAAATTTTTTCCCGACATGAATACGCTGGCGATCACAGTGGGAGCCAACAGTCTCGACAAGACTAGAGTGTCGCAGCCGATCAAGAAAAACCTAGTTCACTCGCAAGCATCCATGGCTGAATGGAGAAAGCGATCCGCCTAAGAAAGGGGAAGATCCCGGTCGACTCAACGGTCGAATACGAGTTCGACCAAGCTAAGTCCGCGGAGTATTTCTCCTCATCTTCATCAAGGTATTCCTCTCCCTACAAGTGCAGGAAGATTTCATTTTCAAAGAAGGTTTTTTAGTCTTCATCACTAATGAAGGCTCAGGGTGACGACTCTCGTCCA